CTCTGCTAAGTGGTGTGTTTGCACAAATGAGCAGTCTGTGTGGAGGTGAAACCTTCCCGATATAGTATACTCTTATATATTGCGGCTCAGCAGGGGAGAGCGCCAGAGAAACATGCCGGCAGTCATATTTTTATGATGTGCATTTAAAGAAAGTTGATATTCAGAAAGTTTTTTTAAGTCATGGCAGAAACCATCAACCCAATAGAGTTTCTACAAGAGTAGAACAAAGTAGTACTCATCTTAATAAAACAGCAGCTTTGATTAATCTAAAACTATTTTTTTGGAGTTTTGAACTAGATGTTATAGTGACTCAGTCAATGGCTACATTCCTTACTGAGGAATTCCATACAGTGACAGTCTGAGGGTTTTAACTCTGAATCACTTGTTGCCATGTAAACTTGATATGAAAGTCTGTATTTATTTATTTATTTATTTCACGAACTTACCACAAACTAAGGTTGCATTCAAACCAGCCCTGTTTAGTTCATTTTCCTAGAAAGGCCAGTTTGTTTGAGGAGGTGTGGATGAGCTATCCAATACTGATTCAGACCAAAAAGGCAAACTCTGGTCTGCCTACAGACCCAGATTTTAGATCAGCTGAAGTGAACTCTTGTGCGATTCGAATGTGGACGCCAAGTCGACCAGGAACCGCTCCAAAAGCAGGAAGTGGTCTATAGTGCATGGCATTCTGGGTAAATACAACCAAAACAAACATGTGAATCCAGCACTAGCGGGAGGAATGGCTCATTATCAGTTACCAAAGAAAGAGAAATCCTACAACTGCTAAAATCTGATGCTGCTTCATTTTTATTTACATTTTGTGAAGAAGGAAGTTGCACTGAGTGTCTAAATCAGAGGTTTTTGTGTGATTTCCTTCAGTCGCTCTTGATGCAGCGCCACCACAGGCGAGGAGGGGAACAGGTTTTTTTAAAATGTTTGGTGCAGTGAAGCGTGAAAGCAAAGCTCACCAGCTGGAAATGGTACAAATGTTGCAACTTTGGTCTTCAACTGGACTATGAGGTGTGAAAACACCCCAGGCCTTATTGTTTAGTTTCTCTTAACCTGGTGGACAAACCAGGTGAATTTAGGAAAGAAGCACTGAAGTCTTGGTTTAACTGTTGCTGCTCTGATAGAGAGGATCTTCACTTCCTGCTGCCAGGAAGCTGGAGACACAGAAACAGCTACTCATTCATGTGACTCTAGTCAGGGATATCAGGGAAGAGGATTTGCTTCTTCTATGTGAGCATCCAGGGTTTAGCAGGAACTTGTCAACACAACACAACCTGCTTAAGACCATAATGTTGCTGCAGATGTGAATGCTCTGCATTATGTAGCTGCTTCCTGGTATGCATGGTGCCAAACTGAAAACTTAGAAAGCAGAGGCTCTACAAGACAACCACACTTAAAAACAAAACAAAAAAAAAACAGAAAAATACATTGTTTCTGTAAAACAATTAAGTAATTTATTTCTAGATGAATAACATAAGATCAGACTAAAGCATTGGGGAAATTAGAGAAACCTAACGTCTAAATTGATTGAAATGTGACATACTTTCTATCCAGAACAATTGATGAAAAGTTACCCAAATTATCTTAATTTGTGGGAAATTCTTACACCAATTTTATTTGATCATTTTTTAGCTTTTTTTTTTTTCTATATCAGTAACCAGTCAGGATTTGGGTTATCATTACCATCATGACATAACAAGATGATCAGGTTTTACACTCAGTGATGGATTGAAATTTTACCCTGTTATTTGCTAAAGTGCTCGGTTGTTGCAGTAGAACCTAAACAATTGAATAAAACAGGCAATTTTTATAGGTTTTGTTTATTTTTATTTCATGCTTACATTAACACTGTTGTTATAGTTTTTTTTTTTCAAATTTGGTATCTCAGTTTTTGTACTTTGGTATTCGTTGAAAAAAAAAAAAAGAAAAAGAAAATCCACCTCATTATATGCTTATAAATTGTTTCCCTCTGTTAAAACCCATCTTGTGGTTGCTTAATCTAAAGCCTGAACCTAAAACATCTAAGCTAATGCTAACCATTGGACCGCATCCACCCACAACTGATTAACTCACACACATTCCTACTGCCAGGAACTTGGTAGCGTGGAAAAAGCAAACCATGCAGTATGTGACAGTGGTCGGGGGTTTCAGGGAAGAGGATTTGCTTCTTCTATGTGTGCATCCAGGGATTAGCAGGAACTTGTCAACACACCAACACAACCTGCTTAAGTCCACAATGTCGCTGCAGACATTCTGTAAATGCATAACAGTGTAAGATCATTTCCTGCTATGCGTAGTCCTGAGGTTAGATTACCAAACTTAAAACTTGAAAGGTAAAAGTTCAACAAAAAAGAAACAACCTAACATTTTCCATGTTTGCTGTAGATTAATGGCTAATCCAAATCCATTGTTAAAGAATTATAAGAATGGAGTAGCCAAAAAGAACTTGGAATTAAGAGAATGAAGCATCTGCACTTTCCAAAGATTTGCATTTCAAAACTGCAAAAAAAAAAAAAAAAAAATACATTTTATGCTTATTAGTATTATGTATTAGTGGCAGTCCTAATCATAAGCCTCCCTTTACTGTCATAACAGGGGGAATTCTGTCAGCAGACTCTTCATAATATAAGGGGAAATACTGAGTTAATTGTTATTGCAGAAAAATTCAAGCTGCAAAAGTTGGAGGCTGTTTATATGCTGCCTCCAGCATATGCTGGATCGCATTCTTTCGCTCATGAGTTATTGCTTATGACCATAGATGAAGGTATGAAATTGGTCTGGTAAATCTAGAGCTTCACATTTTGGCCCAGATCTTTCTTCGCCCCAATAAGCTGGAGTAGCGTCACTTGCTTACGTCCTGCTTCGTCTTGTTAACCAAACACACCACAATACTTGGCCTTCTCCTCTTCAAAGGAGGGATTTTTGTTCTGTTTTGGCCAGAAAAACCTGGCTTCAGATTGTGTCAGACAAACTGAAGTTTCATTCTGTATCCTGTGTGAAGAAAATAGGAGGAAAAATTAGGAAGAAACTGTAAGATTAGCAAAAGTGACTTAGAATATTGGTGACATGAACAGGAAGTCAACTTCGGGCAATTCATCTTTAGAGAACTTCAAAAAGACTTGACTAACTTATTAAAACGCACAACAAAAAAAAGACTACTTTCTTTTTGATCGAACTGAACACTATAAATTGTACATTGAATTTGAGTGAATTCAGTTAGTGCTCATGGTCAAATTTTACCTGCATAAATTAGGTCCATTATCTTTACTTTCTACTATTTACAACTTGCCTCTGTTGGCTCCTTTAAAGAAAATGACCATGTGAGCAACTATTGTAAAAACACAGTCCAGTAATTATTAGACTCCAATAAACCTCTTGTCTCCGTTATTAATGCTTTCAGAGTGCTTGTTTTTGCATCATCGGTGATGATTAAATTGATAAATACCATTATAGAAATTGGACTTTTCGCCCCAACATTCACTGTGCATAGCAGCATTGAACAATTTTCCTTGACACGCTGCATGACACTGTCCTGACTGGTTTTAAACAATGACATCTGAAACAATACCTACATAAAAGTCAAGTTAAAACATCCAGTCATTTGGTTATATACTAGAAGATATGTACACTGAGTAGGCATACCATTATGATCACTGATAGGCACATTTTCGCTAATAGTGGAACTCATTTTTCATTTAGAGCTTTGGTGCTTTTTTTGATAACATTGAAAATATAGTGTAAGATCAAGCAGCAAAAAGAAGCTAACACCTAATTTCCACTAAGCGGTATGGAACGAGTCAGGGCAGTTCGGTATGCCTTTTAGTCCATCTCCATTGTAAAAGTCGCCCATACAACCAACCCGTACTGCTTCATTCTAGATCCACAGAATAAATGTGCAGTACAGTCAGGGAGGAGCTACCGGAGTAGCACAACACAGCACATGGACTGAGATACAGAAAAACATCACTGCTATGGCAAGCAAAAGACATGTTATGTTCGCTGACTAGTATGACGCAACGTTAGGCCCTGGGGTTTAACTCTGTCTGCCTGATGAGAGTCCAAATGGGGAGAAAAGCTCTGCTGAAGACATTAGCCTGCAAACTGTGCCGCACCTCAGTGGAAACAAGGGTATGGTCAAGTTCAGAATATTTCATTGTGCCTATGGAAAACCACAGTAAAACTCAATGTTTGGTTTCACCTTACAATATTACCTGCAATTAATCACTTCAATTATTATTACTCCAGACTTCAAAACTTTGTGAAAAACTTTCACTTACTCATAATCAGTGGGCTGCTGGTTTCAACTCGCATTTCATCCATCTCAGTAGTTGTATCCTCAGGTATGACACTTCACCTGCCTTGCCTGCTGGTGACAGTCAGAAGGCCCAGTGGTGCACCTCAATATACAGGTTCACAAATGTGAATGTGTGTGTGACTGACGCACACACATTCACATTTGGGCTCCTCTGGACTTGATGATGTTCCAAACAAGTACAAGCCATTTAACATTTACTTCCTCATTGACAAATAAGGACTCTGTCAATAGTCTTATATTTGCTTAGTTATTATTTATAAAGTTACAGGCCAAGTAATTAAAGTGTTAAATGTTAATGAATCCTTGAAAATCCTCTTCTCTTAAACTGTTAAAATGTTTTGTGTGGCCTCAAGCCAAATGATAATGTTTGCCACTTTTCACATAAGCAGATCTCTCTGCTCTGATTGTTTTGTAATAAACAGGCTTCTGATTTGCTTGGAAAATAAATGTAAAAAAAAAAAAATCACACTAGTCTGAAAACTCTGTGGGTCTCTCGGCGCTCGCTCTTCCTTTATCCTCTGTTCAAGTTATTTTGTGCCTTTGCTGCAAAGTAGCCCAGATTGTTTCCAATCCTTGCTTTGCTCAAAAAGAAGAATCCAGAGATCTCTGGACATCTGGACTAGTTAGCAAGAAGTCCTTCACTTGATTTATTGTTTCTTTCAACAGATGCTGACACTTGAGTTTAGGAACAACTTTATTTCCAGAGTGTATAATTTCTGACATAGTTATGCACAAGTACAACAATCAGTCACAGCCTCTTTTGTTCTGGCTATGCTTTCACAGGTTTTTGCTATGAAAACCGAAAAGTGTCAGAAATTAACATTCTCCCTGTGAGTGTATTTACAAAACCCCGCTGGATATCAGGAGGTGAGCTGTACAACAAGGACCTCCTGCAGGCTGAGAGCTGGGCAGCAGAGTTTCGCTTGACCAAAGTCAACACATGCAGGACGGGTAAAGAGCCTGTGATGAAAGGGGTTTTCCTCCACAGACTTTACGCCCTTTACCCTGCTTTGCTTCATCTAACATCAAAGTGAGGTTTATCCACAGACGCTCACAGATGATGGTTACACCATGGCTGCCATTGCACTGACAGTATTGCCAAAGGCCATGTTTATAGAGTTTCTGAAGTTTATATTTAACATCATAAGAAACAAAATGTTCACCTCACTTCATGCAATGCTGGATGAAGTCACGAGACATTGTGCAGTTGCAGTCAAATGACAGTGGTCTCTGGGTGGGTACTTGGTTTACCAGGACAAATGATGATCACCACAGTTCCACGACGTGCACCATGACCCAACGTCTAACGGAGGTTTCCTTCTGCCGCTGCAGCACGGCAGCAAGCAGTTCCGTACTGTCAGTACGTTGTTTCTTTGATGATGTTGGTGGAAAAGGTGTGGTTGCTGGAAATGCTGATGGAGTGGCGGGTCAGGGGGTGCAGCTGCTTCCTGGGTGTGTGGCGGCAGGGCACGAAGAAGTAGCGCAGCGTGGTGAAGAAGATCTGGCGGTAGGTAGCAGACACCAGGTTGTAGAGGATGGGGTTGATGGCCGAGCTGACGTAGAACAGCACGTTGGTCAGCATGTAGAAGTAGTGGTAGAAGTCGTACATGTTGCTGCGAGAATAAAGAGGGTAGAAAGGAAACGAAAGGAAAAATGTGAAATGTTTGGTTTTGACGCACCAGTTGTTCCCCCTCTCACCCTTTGCAGAATGACATTTGACACCATGTGCACTTTTAGAAGTTTTTTAGGGAACTAATGGTCTGACTGAACATTCTCTGCCCGCTGTCCGACCATGTCTGCATTGCTGAGCTTTAAACTGAATATTTTGTTTGAAGTCAAATATTCAATTAATATGGATGTTAGCTAATATTTAGCTCAGAGGAAAATATTCAGCTCGCTTTGCAAATTCACTTGCTGATGACTGGAAGTGGACTACCAATAAAAAAAAAAAAAAAAAAGCTGGGTCTTGTGAACCAGAGAAGGCCTAGCCATCCTTTGCCAAGTGATTGGTTGTTCCCATAGGGAGGTAACTTACCAGTGGAGCACACCTCTGGAATGAGCAATTTCTGTCATTAGTGAAATAATTTAAATGGTCTGTGTCACTTTGACCAGCGGAGGCTCTGCGTTAAAGAAGGAAGTGAGGCAACAAATGTCTTTGAGGTGGATTTATTTGGGAGCTCCAAGTCTTCATTACACCAACACCCTTTTTTTTTGTGAAACAAAGAAGCTGACATTTATACCTGAGGCAAGTTCCAACACTGACACCAGGTAAAGGGGTGATCAAAAGAAAAGACACACAAACACTACTTATACAAAACTAACAAATAAATGATCCAACAAATAGTTACATGCATGCACATTATTAAAATTAAACTAACCTAAAGTCAATCAAAAGTAAATATAACTAAATATAAATCCTCAGAGTATTCCCCCTCCTAATGGAAGCTGGTATGCTCCAGGAGCATTCGTCTCCCTCTCTGCTCCACCTTGCTGAGACACACCCAGAAAGGCAAATACTCAATTAACTCAAATTGAACTAATCTAAATCAAAACAAACTGACATTTTCCCCCACATTCTCTGAACAGGAAAGATGGCCAGTCTCCCTACCCAAAAAGAATGTTCACCAAATGTCACCATGTAACTGAAATAAAGAACTGATACAAAACACATTTGAACTGAAAACAACATAATATCAATAATCAACATGGGATGGAACCCCTGGTCTCCATCACAGTCTGATGAAGTGGCTCTGGCACCAATCAGATGGCCTAAGTGAGCAACGGTCCCAGCCTGACCGCTAATATGAACATTATCTGGCTCCACTGCTGGCTGAGAGTTGCTCGTGTCACCTCTTCATGATTGTCCCATTTCCTCTCAACATTTACAACATTTCAACTTAAAACATAGGATGAACAGTCTTAATGGTGGCACAGATTTGTATCATTGGATCTCTACAGTAACAGTAACACCCCGCCTGCCAGCAGGAGTTTATATGAAGGTTTGTAAGACCCAGATTTTATTTTGATAGTCCACTTCCAGTTGTTGGCAAGCAAATTTGCATATTAGCTAAATATTTAGTTTAAATCTAAATATTTAGTTTGAAACTGAGACTTTTATAAATGAATGAAAGGCCTGGTAAAAATATGACTTTGGCAAATGAACTCCCATTACAGGCTAAATAATCCGAGTTGTTGTTAATATTTGACTGTGTAACTTTCCAAAACCTCACACCATACATGACCCCTGGCTGAAATCTGATCGTCATTAACAGACTTCTGTATTAATGACAAACTGATGACATGATCAAACTCATGAGAGTACATCTGATGAGCACAGAGACTCATTAACGGCTTGCCTTTGGAATTTTAGTCTTTTTAACAAAATAACTGAGACCTAAAACACAAATACATTAATATAATTACCAAAACTAATTATCTTTAAAGTGATCTTTTCGCTCTTATTACCAAAGAGATGACGCTGCGTAAACTAATAATGCACATTTCTAAGCCTGTGGTTCACTTCCAAAAACACAAGCCATTATTGAAAGGTTTTCAAGATTTAGCCTTGGGATTCCTGCCAGCCACTAACTTTCTTAATGCTGTGAAAGCAGGAAACCAATGGCAGGAAGATTCGGCAGCCCTCTCTGCTGGAATCTCACAGATAAACAGTCATGTACGTCAGCTTTCCAAATCCATGTGGTACAAATCTAATCTCCAGAGGGATGAAAATAGCAGACACATCATCTCTGCGAGGATCACTGTGAAAGTGCTGTAAAATAAGTAAATTCATTTGATGCGATCTATTTATGTTGTACCTTATAAACGCTACAAAAACGGCAAGGTTTAAAAGGAGTGGAAAACCTTGAAGTGACTGAATCTATCTCTGATAGAGACTGACAATAAGGAAGCAGGAGATTAAGCTACAGAGCTAGAGAAGGGGAGGACATTAATGGAGGAAAAGTTACATAAGCCCAGACGAATGCTGAGATATCAGTAAAGAGAAGAAGATATCACGAGGGTGTAAAATATGGTCATAGCATACACATTTCACTTTTTTTTTTCCCTATTTTTGTTCCATTTCAGATCATCAAACAAATTTGAACATTTAATAAAGATAAACTGAGAACATACAAAATTAGGATTTTAACTGAGGGGAGAAAAGCTTTCCAAAAACGTCAATGATACATTTGTTAAATCATGAGTTAACTCAAAAGCTGAGTCTAATGTCACTAGCGACACCAACCTGATCATTAACTAGTGCGGTACTTTAAAAAATGTGCTTAAAGAAAACTTTGATGGAAACACGGTTAATGACATCTATCAGTCTGGAAAGGACTACAAAACCAGTTCAAAGTGTTCCAGCAATTCAATTCAATTCAATTCACTTCAATTCAATACAGTTCAGATAAGTTGCAGAGCACTAGTTCACAAAGATAGTTGCCTCAAGTCACAAAAACAAACCAAAAACATCTCATTTAAATTCAGAAATACATATTCAATCCAAACAGTCGAGCTCAAATTCAAATAAATACATTCAAGATTGATCTCTCTTTTGAATAAATGCAGTCAGGTACAGTTTATCATTTCAACTGGTAATGAAAACTTTGCAAAGAAAGCTAGCAGATTGCATTGAGACTTGCGGCAATCATCCCTTCTGAGCATGTAGCTGCAGTGGACAGTTGATTGCATCAAGACTAACTGTGCAGCAATCAATCATATGATTGATTGACATGAGAGCAGAGAGAACTCCCCTCTAACAGGAAGGGACCTCTAGCGGAATCAGGTGAGCGGCCGTCTGCCACCAATGCCCGGGGTTTGAGAAAACAGAGCACATACACAAAAAACACAAGCACTCAACTAGGAGTACCTTCTATGCTATTGAAAAAGTAGAGAGGCAGTGGCAGCAGTAGCAGAGAAACACAAAAGTACAGAAAACTCCGAGTCGGTTTTTAAGTCAGTGAGAGAAAAGATGGCTCAAGAAAATTGCTTTGTCTAGGAGTGAGACAAGGTTTAACACTGAAAGACAGTATCACAAGTCATGGATGCATGAATCATGTAAATAAATAATTACTGTCTCAGCCATGGTAAATACCCTCCACCAGCCAGTGAGAAAAACACAGTTTTGTCAGGGATTTCCCTGTAATCTGGTTTGGCAGATCACAGACACAGTTGGTCGGTCTGGCACCGGTCTGGTGTTGGGTCAGTCTACATGCATAAGGCTCTGCCATGTGCAAAGGGAGTTCAGCTGCTTCTGCTCAACAGTGGTAAGAGGAAATGGTGAGAATGAAAGATGGCACTCATGGAAGGTTAGAACAAGGGTTCTAAACTTCCAAGGGTGGGCAACTCCAGACCTCGAGGGGCGGTCTCCTGCAACTTTTACATGCATCTCTACTTCAACACACCTGAGTCAAATAATGAGGTCGTTAGCAGGACTTTGGAGAACCTGACTGCACTTAGGAGGTGATTCAGCTGTTGGATTCAAGTGTGTTGGACCAGGGAGACGTCTAAGTTGTGGGACACCAACCCTCGAGGACCAGTATTGCCCATCCCTGGGTAAGATGAATAAAAAGCCAAGAGGAGAGCTGCCTTACATGACAGTGTGGAATCTTCTCTTGCATGTAAGCTTTGTGGTCCTGGTGCTCTGAATTATGTCATTAAGATTATATAGCTATAGCTTCACCAGAACAATATGTTCCAGATTTCTGGTCCTGGGTACCACTAGAATAAATGCTGTACTGTTGTAGCAGGCCATGTACAAACCGGAGCAGGTAAAGGGGACGGTGAGGACAAAATCCCTATGTTATACCAACTGAAAGGAACTAAGCTAGCCAAGACCTTTAAGGTTTATGCACAAATTACTTGTGCAAATAAGTGATGACAGTCTAGCTAAAGTGTGACTAACCCCCTTGTGAAACCATAACCACACCCCTGGCAAAATTTTGACATTTCACCAAAGTAGAATACTTATGTTCATATCTAAAATTCTTTAATTAAAGGGGCAATATTATGGAAAATATCTAGATTTTTGAGCTTTACATCTTGTAAATAATGTAATTTCCTCCTCAAAAACATACCTAAAGTGATGCCTTGTTTTAGAAATCCTTTCATCTCTGGCAACCATTCAGCTGTGTAAAACACCTGGGTGGACCTCGCTCCACCTTTGAGACGCAGCTCCTTGTCTGAGCTGCAGCTCCGAAGTTTCCAAGCTTCCTCCAGAGCAGTCCTCCCCACTCAGCTAGCCCACAGCAATTAGCAAACACCTGGTGAAATTGCTAATCTGCTGATCTCATTATACGAGCTGCTTCTCAGTGAAACGCTGGTAAAATTGTTGTTAAAGGTAAACAAAGGAGCGATGTTATGAAGACTTCCTGAAGGCGGAGTTTCAGAATGAGCAGGAATTTTTAAAGAAACAGAGGCCCAATTTCAAGGCATTAAATTTGGAAGTCAAATTTCTTTTAAATCATTTTTGATAAATATAACATTTTTATAACAAGTGAAGCTAACACAGTTACTTGACTGTGCTTTAAAATGTCACTATGTTCCTGGAAAACCCATAATACTGCCCCTTTAAATTGAATATAACTAAAAAATTACACTTGGTGACAACATACCAGGCCAGAACCACCAGCAGCAAAAGAATTAGCTTAGAAATTTGGAGAAAACAAGATTGATAAATTTACACCTTGAGAATTTTTATCATGACCTACAAAAGCGTCTAAAAAGATCCTTGTGTATTTTACCGTTTCATGGTCATTTATGTCTTGCCTCTATTGCTTTTCACTGTGTACGAAAGAGCAGATGAGAGTGACTAATATTAACATTCTCAAATGTGCTCCGTTTGATTTAACCAGACAAATTATATTTTGATGGACTAAAAATAGATAGAAAGTGATGGAAAAGGCAAGTGAGGGAACAAGAATTTAATCTAATCAACAAGATGTAGCTCTCCTGCTTCCATTTGTCAGATGCTTTCAACCGATGACTCTAAATGAGTTCTTTAGTCAATACCTAAGTTCATTTGTGCGTATGTTCTTTTGAAAGTATGAATATAAGCAAACATATGGTGGTCTAAAAAATGCCAGTGCCCTGTTGGCAAACAAGCTTTTGGAGATGGAACGCAAAAAAGACTAAGGAGAAAGGAAAACAAAACAACAACAAAAAAAAAAAACAGCTACTCACTCTGACCAGTCGGAGACGTAGCAAAACATGAGGCGGCGAGCGTGATAGGGCAGCCAGCAGACCACAAAGGCGATGACCACGGCTCCTGAACACAGGACAGAGTGGGGGAGAGTCAGATGCCAATAAACAGAATGCGTACATAAAGCTCAAATGACAAAGTGAAAAGTCTCCCTTTTAAAATGTGAACAATGTTCAGATGATTGGAGTAACAATGTTCAAGAATCAGAGACGAGCAAAGCTGTGATTGAGGCAGTAATAATAGAAATAATTATGACCTTCAAGCTTTTGATTAAAAAGACAAACAGGTCACACCCCCATTTCCAGGCGCACTGAAAACCCCGGAGCCAGCCCTTCCAGAAAGAAAATTACTTGTAATTTGTATTTGATTGTAGATGAGATCAAAAGGCTCAAACAAAGTAATTTGCAGCCAGCCGCTATTTTTGAAGTTTAAATGCTTCAAATTATGATGGCACGATAAATTGTGCACTAGAAAGAATTACTGTCAAATTTATTTGATGAACCGCAAAGAGCATTACCGTCTCGACTAACAGGGTAATTTTCTCTTGTTCCTGTTTTTATTATTTAATGCAAGAATGTTCTGCCAGTGTCAACCTCCTGCACCAATGACAAAAACCTTTTTACATCAGCATTCATTAGGAATAGGGAGCACAAATACGACTACTGCGATTTTAACAAACATATTTTGTACAAAACTCTATAAACATAAAAAAAGAAATATGTAACATGTACTTAAATTTCCAGACAAATCATCCATTAATATATCCATCTATGTTTTCCACTTACCAACTGCAGGTTCACAAGGAAAACTTAGAGATCTGTTTTCCACTTCCTTTCACTTTTGTCACCAGACCAGATGGTACTGATCCATTTAATGATCTTTCACTCCATCCTACCTTCACTCACAAATATCAACGTCTTTAATGAAAACATTAATATGAAACCCAATAAAATCAGGTATGGAGGAAGTAGAGGGAAAGTAAAATACCCGGCTGCTGCGTATGATGCAGCGGAACCCTATGAACTGCACACCATTCATTTAGGTATGCAAAAACTTTTCACCTCAGCATTGACATCGTCACATCATCAGGTTTTATAAAGACTTATAAAACCCATCAGAGACATAACAAGCTGAGGGGTTTGCTCCACAAACACCTTAGCTTCCCCACCTTTAGACTCCACCTAAGACCTGTTAGTTGAAATCCCCTGGATATGCAGCCAGCAGTCTCTGTGTGTTCTCTGGCCTTTCATGTCGAAATAACAAAAAAGATGCAATGCATTCAGAACTCAAGTAAAGCAAAGAAAACAAGTTCATATTCATTTAGAAACAGTGTTTTAACTCAGGAAGAGTTTAGAAATCAGTATTTGGTGGGATAACCGTGAGATTTTCAATGGGGCTCAGTGCAGTCGTCTCTTAATTTCTTCCAGACCTTTATCTAGATATGAATTAAAGAAATAAAATGGCACAAGTCTTGCTGGCCGTATCTGCATCCGATCTGATTTATTATAGCTGTTACTCTGAGTAGCCTGTCCTTCCAAAGCAAATACCCTGGGACCATTTAGGATTTGAGAGCCAGTAATCACTTAAACATTAAGTACTCCATCTCCAGTGGCTAAAACTTAATAAAAAGACAGTCTCTAAGAAATCAACTTCTTCCCTGCCTCAGCTTTGAAAGCAGCTGTGTAGGAGGCATACACTGTAAAAAGTGTTTTTGGCTGTAGCTCATTTCATGGACTTATTTACATTAATCTCACTTAATTATTTTCGTTTAGTGATGACAACTTACTTTTCTGTGTTCAGTTGTCTTAAAAGTTACAAATCTTTAATTTAAAGGAACTTTTTACTTGAAACAATTGAGTTCAATGCCGCATTCGTGTCCTACGTCTGACCAACTCAATATATTATAACAGTCCAACTCAATTCATAAGTTTTGCTAATTTAATTCATTAAGTGTGTTTAACATGAGAAATTTAAGTCACTCTTACACATCACAAACCTCTCACAAATAACACAGAACAAATGTCATTTGCGTCGTTCTGTAGCAATGTTGTAGTGCAACCAAACAGCTTTTTCAGTGGTGCGACATTCTGCCATAGACGCATATTTTTTCTGTAATCCTTTACAAAATGTACGCGTTCGTCTCCATGTTGACTAGAGCTAATTTTGTGCCTGTTTTTGTATGTTGCCTGATTGAAATCTTTGTTACTTTTATAAAAGTTTTCACATTTCTTTGATTATATAAAGTCATTTGCTGGTAAAAATGCAACAAAACCGCATAAATTCAAATAGGGAAATAATTGAATATGATATAACGTTTCCAAAGTGTTTTGAAGTAGCTTTCAAAATGCCATCTTAAACGACAGAAGAAACTGTAATAAATACGTAAGCATGTCATATGGTGGATGAACCCATTAGAAGAACTTGTTGTCTTTTGTTTTACTTTAAATCACTTCTCAAATTCGGTCTGCTTTTTTTTTTTAGTATGACCTAAAATAGCCTCTGAATAGAGCAGCGTTTCTCAGTTCCACTGGTTCTGCTTGCTTCCCCTGGCTCTCTGTTTTTGATACTCCCTACGGATTGCAAAGTCACAGCCCAGGTAATGTGTAGCGTTTGCTAAAATGTCAGCACATCTCAAAAGGCCAATTGCCTCTCTTTCTACTACCTTCAAATACCAAAGAACATGAGCTGATAAACATAGCGGAGTGCTTGAATAAATGCTCCTGAGGTAAAAGCAGCGGAACCTGAGCAGCATGAATACTGGATGTGCTGTCATGTGCAGCCCATCAAAAAAGGGGCAAGAAGTCAATGTTATTTCTCAGGATGCTACCAAAGAGATTGAGATTGGCAGGTCACACCTCAGCATTTGGTACTTCACTATCATTCCCCATCAATTGGTCTCAACTGGGTATTCAATCAACACACACAGAGTAAGTGATGTTGAAACCATGGCAACCCATGCTCCAGTGACAAAGCTATGTCAAAATTATGAACCTCTCACGATGCACCAGAACAGTTTGTCCCCCCCTCCTGCTACTGTTATTCATTGTGGGGTTTTTTTTTGCACCATATCGCAAAGGCTCCAAGTTGGGTTGAGTAAGTGTTAAGAGGTATGATGGCTCCATTTTTGTAACTGGCACTTAAAGCAATTTTATGCTTCAGAGCTTAACAGCTGTCCCTTGAAGAAATGTAAAATGAAACAGTCTGTTGGTAGATGAACCTGACAAGATAACTATTACTTTATATCTCTCCCTGTCTGCTGAATGAGTTGGTTTATGAATAGTCCGTATGCAGAATTGCACCACACACTATGACAACTTGTTGGTCTGCTAAATTACAGGCGTTTCAGGGTTTCCCTTGGTATATTAAAAACCTGGTGGGCTTTACTTTCCCCCCACCAGGCTAAGCATTGTTTATTCATTTTAAATATATATTTTTTTTATACACCAGAAGCAGTGATAGCAAAGACAGGTGGAGTGCTAGATAGTGTGGACTGCAATCAGTGAACAGAGACTTCGAACACTGTAGAGCTGTCGAATAAATACTGATTAAGAATACATTCTTTTTCTGGTTCCTTGGCCTTTGAAACAGTTTTTCCTCACTCCTTGTTAAAAGAAAAATTCCACAACATTATAATTCAGACAAGTTGTGTAGGTGTGGCAATTAAAAATGAAAAATGTCCAATTGAATCTAGAGAAACTGTCTTTATACAGGAGCAATTAGAAAAAGTTCATTATTAAGATCACTTGGGTATGGCTATGTATGCATTTATTTGAAATGTAGATAATATTTGTCACGCTGAAGGAGAGAAATGCTTAGAATGTTTTTTTCTAATGGTCTCATTTTGTTGTATCACAAAAACCTGATATTTTATTGTCTTAATATCTGTAGACCAGTAAAAGGGTAACCGTGGTAGGGACAGAAGGCAATACTCATCCTTATTAGGGTCATGCAAGAATTTCCTCCATAAGCGAGCATGTGTTTGGATTTGAGGACACAGGAAGAGGCAACTTCCTTGCAAACTACTGAACAAACACACAGAAAGCGCAGCTGAGATTGTCTTTCTAAAGCTTATGGGGATTTAATCTTTATCATTTTCTGAACATGTTTATTGTTGTCTCAGATAATGAAGTAAATGGGAACTGTTGCACTTCCAAAAACATGTTTCTCTAACATCACCCTGGATATTGGAGAAACTGAGAGGAAGTGAGGCCCGACCTGCTCTGGGAACAGAACAACACACTTGTTTTCCAACTCAATTATCTCCTTATTTGTAATAACACAATTAAAATCTTAGTTTGACAACAAATCCATCAATACTTTACTCACTGGTGACCATACTTATGTAGCCACATTCTTAATTGAAAACTAAAAATGTTAAAGTAAGGAAACACTAGAGACAGGACAGCAATCTGGATTGATGACAAATGAATAACAGTAATAAAGGAACTGCTAAAAGATAATAGAATAAATAAATTCAATTCTAATTAATTTGTATTCAGACTAAAACTAACAGCTAATGTTATAAATAAAAAGAGTAAACATAGTACTTTCTTTCTGACAAAAAAAATAAAAAAAATAAAAATGAGGTAATAATGTAAAGAATTAATGGCTTTTGATACAAAAATATCAAAAATTACTGCAGCCGTGACTAGAATCCCAATAATAAAAGTTTGTTTCAGTGTCTGTTTTGTTCAGAAAGCTGTTTGGGAAAAACCTGAAGGGTCAGCAAAGTTTAAAGGATAAAAGCAAAGTAAGACCATTAACACTTTTTGAAATCCATAAAAGCGTCTTCAAATCAATCCTGAAACAAACAGGAAGTAAGTGCAACAAATTGGTAATTGGTGCAGATATTGTTTGTTCTCTCTGTGGTGATGCTCAACATTGATTTGGCCGTGGTTTGAAGTGAGCTCAGTATGTTTTTCTCTGAAAAATGAGCCAGTCCATTAGGTAACACACTCGTGGTGCGACCATGTGTGTATCACCTAATGCAGCGGTTTCAATGAATCATTAGGAAGCTATGGAGGAGGTACACTTGTTCATAAAGCCATTACTCATAATCTTGGCAT